GCATAGCAGTGAAAATGTATGCTATGTCTTCTAATGATGCTGCCTAAGGGAAGCATGTATAATGTAAACAGAATTGGTCCTAGCACTTTTTAACACATTACACCTCATTTTTTATTGACAGCAGTGTCTGAATCAAAAAATATTTTAAAAAGTCGCATGGGAGTAGACTTCATGACAATTCCTAACCTATTTTCAGATCTTTCAGAACTTTTTACTGAGATGACAGTGGCCTGCATCTCCTTGGATGTTTCAAAGTATTCTCCACTGGTAGATCCAGATATTTTTCACAGTTATCCCTTCTATCACACTGCAGGACTGGACAATTACTGTGCTATTGGGTCGGGTAAAATGTAGAAAAGTTTAGGGCTGGAGTACATGTGTGAAAATAGTTTCAAGAAGAGCTTAGTAACCCTTTTCACACTGATCTACTTCAGTTGACTCCAGTCCTCAATTTTGCATTTACATTGGGTACATTGGGCAAAATGAGACTTTATGTTTCTGAAAATGGTCCAGTGAAGTGATTTTGGCATATTTATACTTTGTCACACAGGCACAGTTAGCCTTAAAGCTGTAGTCCAGAGATTAGACATAGATAATGGCATTAGAGCACAAACTTCACATTAAAAAAAGATAACCAGTCGAAATTTCTGAATGGTACAAAGTTGAATCAGCAAGGTGGTTAGCACTGTTGCTGCACAGCAAGAAGGTCCCGAGTTCAATTCCACCATCAGCCCGGGGTCTTTCTGTGTGCAGTTTGCATGTTCTGCCCGTGTTCTCCTTGGGTACTTCGGCTTCTTCCCACAGTCCAGACACATGCAGTTAGTGGGGATAGGTTAATTGGCCAATCTAAATTGCCCATAGGTGTGAATCTATGAGTTAATGAGTGAGTGCGAATGGTTGTCTCTGTGTGTTAGCCCTGCAACATATTAGCAACCTCTCCAGGGTGTACCCTGCCTCTCGCCCTATGACAGTTGGGATAGGCTCCAGCGCCCCGTGATCCTGGAAAGGTTAAGCGGAAGCGAATGGATGGATAGATAAAGTTGGATTGTATTAATATTTTTTTAACATGAAATTCTTAGACTTAAAATGAGGAAAAATACTATTTTGCCATTTTCATTCAACTTTCATGCCAGACTGAAAGAAAATGCACATTTTTCATTTTTGAGGCCTACTGTCTTTGAGGAATCTAATAATTCAGGTTCATTTTAAAATATGCTCAAAGGCATTCAAAATGAAGCTACCTAACCCAAAGTATTAATGTACAATTGTGTTTACATAAAAATAAATGGAGCAAAATAATTAAGAGTAATAAAAGAGGGATTAGTAACTCATTTCATGCAAATAGTCTTGCAAGGCAACATGTGATCGGTTTTTGTGTTTACATTTAAAAACATCGTCCTGAGAGCTCTGTGTTTTGGCAGTGTTTCAGAAATAATTTTCTTCCGCATGCCTGAAAATGAAAAGTAGACAATTCTGAGATGTCATTGCTTTTTACCAGCATTAAGGTAAAACTGTAAGTACAAGTTGTACACAGCTCTTGGAATGACCCACTAAACAGAAGAAACATTACCTGATACAAACATGGCCTCTTTCCCATCCCTGTGCATCCTTTTTTGTAGCTCCTCCTTTAACATTTGCCTTCTCTTTGAACATCTTTAATGACCACACACCGACTTGACTGATTTCCAGGTCACAACAGGCCAATGGAGGAAACAAGGAGTTATATCTTAGATAAATGAGAGAAATACCCAAAAAGGATGCAAACATTCCTTTATCTCTAAGTAAAGAAGCCATTCAGAATGTTATTTCCCAACATGTTGAACTGTTTGGGTTTTTCTGTATTATTTTTTGTATTAACTGCTCATTTTTCTAAGGTTGTAATACACTGACTTAATGACTTAATGTCTTGTAGGATCTGAAGCCTGGTAATCTCGCTGTGAATGAGAACTGTGAATTAAAGGTAAGATGAAAGAAAAAAGCATTATACAGTCAAAATCAGGAGTTAAAATAAAAAAAGATGTAGCAGTTAGATTTTTGATCTTTAAATAATTTTACCATCCTCTCCTTCATGCTTAAAATAGGCAAAGCATTTCATTTTAACTGTAGATGAAGATGCAACAAAATATCTTTGATCTCAGATTCTGGATTTTGGCCTGGCAAGACATACAGAGAGTGAAATGACTGGTTACGTTGTAACACGGTGGTACAGAGCACCAGAGGTCATATTTAACTGGATGCACTACAGCCAGACAGGTAATAATGTTGTTTACCTTCAAAGCAAATAGTTATTTGTTTAAGATATAAACAGACTGTTGCAACATGCTACAATGTGCTAATACTCAGGTCCTTTTTTGAACTCTTCTCCTCTGCAGTGGATGTCTGGTCAGCTGCCTGTATACTGGCTGAAATGATCACTGGCCAGGTGCTTTTCCGAGGACAGGACAGTATCCACACACATTTTAATGAAACTGTATGCTCAGTTATGGGAGACACAACCCAGCGTGATTTCTTTTTATTTGAATGTTAAGGAAATAAAAAAAAGAGTCAGGTGAAGCACTGTAAAAGTTTGTTATTCCTGGTGTCTCGATGACCAGAAAGCTGAGAGTAGGTTATCGCTAAAATCTACGTCTATATTATGTCATTGCCCCAATCTTGACTCAAGAGTTGGTGATGTTTGCAGGAATATTTAGTCAGTTTTCTATCTGTTAAATCCATCACTCAAGTGTAATGCTAAAACTTTTAATAAGGTAGTAATAATAATAATAATGATGATAAGGGAAGAAAAGACAAGACGGGAACAACAATGATATATTTTTTTAACAGTCCTTTTTGAGGTAGGACAGCACTGAACTCTTGAGTATGTGATGATGAAATCTGGCCTCCCTTCTAAGAACATAGCAAGCTTTAATACTTACCTTAAAGATTTTAATGAAAAGCTCCCAGAGAACTGGACACAATAGGAAGTCTTTAAGGTAACTGGGTTTTTACCATAGATAAATGATCTACTGTACATAAAGGATGGATGCGGCCATCGTGCTATTGACCATTCGTTTTGGACTTTGTATTTTAAAGCTTCACTAGCACCATGTTAGTGTTTTGAAGCCGTATTTATTTGAGAGTGCTTTCAGCTAATGCTGGCAAGCATACTCTGCCAACAGATCTACCTCGTGCATGTTGAATATTCTCAGCCTTTCTTAACAAGCTTGTTCAGGTATCGATCAGCTGAAGAAGATCCTCCGTCTAACAGGGACTCCAGACTCCTCCCTGGTGCAGAAGATGCAGAGTAAAGATGTGAGTTTTGCAGTCAGGTGTTTTTAAAAGGCTGTGGAGCTGCAACAGTTGTTTCTGGAAGGGCTTTGTCTGCGTGCCTTACTTTTTACACTCTCCATGTGTTGCAGAGATTTTAGTTTGGCTGTTGCTGCTGATCTTTTCTGTTTTATAAAGCTCTAACAGGGAAACAAATGTGTGTTTCAGGCACAATCATATGTGCGAGGTCTCCCTCCACAAAAGAAGAAAAACTTCAAGGAAGCTTTTCCAGGCTTGGATGACGATGGTGGGCTGCTTTATTTTATTCACATCTGAAATCTTGAGTAGTTTTATTTACAAAGATGTTCCCTCACACTCCACTTAGATTAAAGCTCAAACCAGATATTTCAAGTATGTGTAAATGGAGAGCGTGGCTGCTGAATCCAGTGACGCACATTTTACATGTGCGATGAGTAGATTTTACTGCAGTGAATCTTTGAATTAAAAAAAATCTGCTTTAAAGTGTTTTGTGTCTTGATACATCCAGTTATAGACCTGTTGGAGGGGATGTTGCTGCTGGATCCTGAGGCCAGGCTGACAGCTAAGCAGGGATTGTCCCACCCTTACGTGGCTGAATATCACGACCCAGACTGCGAACCAGACTCTCAGCCCTATGATGACTCCTTCGAGAGCCTGGAGCTCGCTATTGGCGAGTGGAAGAGTAAGTGCAGGTGT